GACCATTTTGGAACAACAAAAAAAAAATCTATTTCAAAACCTTCCCCAACAACTGTTCGATCATAACTCTAAAAGAAAAATGTTTGGACAAAAAAGAAAATCAATACAAAATTATTTTCCCATTGTGCACGCACCACACGTGCCGTCCCCACGTGTGACCTCAAATTAGCAGCTATGCCCTAAACAGAAACCAAATATAGTATAAAGCTCCTAACTAAATTAATGCAGACCATTCAGATTTTCATAAATTACTTTGCCAGACAAGGCTGCCCATAAAAAAAAACTACGACATTGTCACTAAGATTCAATTCAAGTTTCCATGGATTTCTAACATTTCCTATTACAAAAAAAAAAAAAACAAACAATTTACACATGTCAACTGCCGTTCGGCTCATACAACCTGTTCGAACTAGAACCACGACGCTATACGTTACGTGTTAACCAAGGCATATTGCCTTCAATTTCTCCCCAAAAATCCAGTTAAGTATACAGTGGCTGCTCGTGCCGCACTAATTGATAGACCACGATCGGACCCATAATCACACAGTTTTCCAAGTGAAAGTGAATCACACGCCAGGTCTAATCGGTAGGCCAGCCTACCCCTTCAGCACCGGCCTAGGGGATGGGGAAATTTCATGACTTCATTTACGTCAGTCCAATAGTAAATCGCACATGTTAACGAATTAATCTCGTTCGCCAGTTCTAAAAATAAATGTCCCAAGACAAACAATCGTGATGTTATGTGGGCCCTCAAAAATGTACAGTTATTTCGGAAGCTGACTTTGACCCAAAAAAAAAGAAAATTCGATTTTATTGGAATTTTTTTAAGAGAATGGAATTGAAGTTATTTGATTAGATAATATTCTGGAAGATTTCTCCGCTGAACAACTCGGTATGGGCTCTGCAGAATGAAATGCATTAGAACAATTTGTCCCGTACCCATTCAGAATCTTTATTATAGCCCTCTTTATTACAGCCATATGGTTAGAGAGGATATATATCATTTGATACGGCCAAAACGTGCCAAGTCGAAAAACGATTTTACACCCTAGGTCTCTTTCAGCGGATCTAGCGATGGCCGTCCGTCCGTTCGTCTGTCTGGCTGGCTGGCTAGCTGATGCGCACAATAACTCTCGAAGGGAGTATTCGATTTGGTTCAAACTTGGTATATCGTAATATTTTTGTCAATCATAGATCGAATTCGGAGATGGGCAACCGCAAGATCAGGTGCGAGAATGAAAAAGATCGGACTACTCCTGCGAATACCTCCTCCACAAGGGTTCCGAATTTGGAATATCTAAAACACACATAAAATATTCTATCAATATTGTTACCATTACAAAATCTGGTATACAGGTAGAGTATAGCGGACCACTCCTTCTGTTACCTACCTCACAAAGGGTCAAAAAATGCCAACTATGCATCCGAAATTTTTGAATAATATGAGATATAAGAGTCCTATAGGACTCCAAATCTAAAAATGTCTTTCATCTCGAACATGGTACGACCCACTTTTGAATGGCTTCAACATTATTCTCCAAAATCAACGTTGAAAATATGTCCGAGAAGGTAATAAGCGAAGACACAAACCGAGCGAATTTTACTCGAGTTCAGAAATAGTTATTAAAGAGAGAGAGAGAGATAGAAGAGAGTAATGAGTAAAGTATAAGAATTCGAATTAAAGCGGGATTAAGGCGGCGCTCCAATGAAAGGTATCGGGTTGTATATTTGGAGTTACGATGATGCTCAAATGAAAGGTCTCGGCGAGTATTCTTGGGGTTACGCTGCTGCTCAAATAAAAAATCTCGGGGAGTACTTTCCGAATATATGGACCTCATAGGCAAACACAATTTTGGACTATTAATTTTTTTTGAATTTTCTGATTTTTTTATTCAGAAACCGCTCAAAGAAAAGATATCTTAAAGGTTTATTTAAAATCTTTTTTTCAGAAAGGAGGGGTCTTGGAGCCTTTCTACAGATCTTTTCGGTAATAAAAAGGATCTCTAAAGTTTCTCATAAGTAAGAAGATCTTGCGAAGTTTTGTTCTCATACAGAATGTCTTCTTGACATAAAGGACATTTCAAATTGTTACTCACTCAAAACGACTTCTGTCTGACTTCTTTTGCCATAGATCCTTCGACCATAGACGGCCTCTTTTAGGCTTTCTAGCCAAAGAGCAACCTTAAAAAGACCAGTTTCCACCGAAAACTAAATGAAAGATATCTACGACACCGAATTGACTCGAAAAAACAACATCCCAGATTCGGTCACAGTGTTAAAATTTAATAACGACCAGAGGTACCCCAAGATCCTAGGAATCACATTTGACTGCATGAACAAGTCGTCCGCACAAGCCACAGTTATCAGACACAAATGAAAAGTAAGCCGGCAGCACTCCATGGTGTGCGCGCAAGAAGATCTTGTCGATATCTTATAACGCGGTAGATCGGTCTGTGGTCAGCTATGCGGTCCCAATGTAATCTGGGTATATAAGTGCTACTTATTGGAAGAATATCCAGATCTGCCAGAATGCTATCCTGTGAACTAGGATAGGCTAGCTCCTCATGACACCTGTGGACCATCTACATGAGGAGGTGAAGGTCTTTCCGGCACGCTATACAAGACATATGCTTTTGTTGCACTCCCTGCTTGGGTGTTATCGTGAGAGTCATTCAGACCATCATAGAGTGGATTTTATTCCCCCCACCAAGGTGTGTCAGGAAGGACATACAGGGTGAGATAAAAAAAAACTGCAACAAAGTCAAAGGTCATAATTTTTAAATTTTTATATTTAATTTTATTGAATTTTTTTGAAAGCAAAAAATGTAGGATATAGCATCACATTTTAGAATAAATTTAGATTTGTTCGAATTGGTCACCTTTGACACGAATTATGGCCTTCAAACGGTCAATGAAACCGTCACATGCTGCTCGACTGTTGCCCTGCGGTATTTTAGCCCATTCCCGGCAATGCGCTTGCTTGAAGTGCTCGACAATTTGGTATTTCTTTGTGCCAACCTTGCTTTCCAAAATACTCCAGACACATTAGTCCAACGGATTGGTATGCGGAGTTTTTGGTGGCCATTGTGCGCTGGAAATGAAGCGAGGATCCTCATTTTGTAAACATTCTTGGGGGGCGCGGGCTGAGTGCGTCCTTTTGGAATGTCCAAGAACTGAGGCCAAAATGTTTGCGTGTCCAAGGCTTTAATTCATCCTCCAGAATATTTTCGCAATAATATTCCGCATTTATTCTGAAGTCATGGTCGATTTATACGAGCGGAGAGCAACCATCGGCTGTTATGATGGCCCACACCATCACCATGACCGGCGCTTGAGTTCTGGTGGCCAACCGAAGGTGCACATTCTCAGCTGACTTCTTTGGCAATAGACACCATCATTTTGTTTGTTTACAAACTGCCGGACGCCGAATGTTTTCTCATCGGAGAGAGAGAAAACCAAATTCGGCAGTTCACCAATTTCCGCCAAGCGAAGCAACTCTTTAGCTCTTTTGAGTCTATTTTCCTTCTGTTGCGGTGTAAGTTCTTGCATTTTTGGAATTGCAATGGCTGTACCCTGAGTTCATTTCTCAGTATTTGCCGAATGGAAATTTAAGTCGATCGATATGTTCAGTTCTCGAGCAATTTTGCGGCCACTGCGACGCGGGTTTCGATCAAGTCGCTTCATCGGGCTACGCTACCAGTATCCCGGAGATAACGAGTGATGGCACGAGATATAAGAGATTTATTCGCATTTGACTTTGCTGGAGTGCTCTAACGATAGCCACTTGTGGTTTCCAGCCAAATGTAAAGAAATCACCCTAACACGCTTGAATTCCATCACGAATAACTTTTTTTCTAGAAAAATCTCACCAAAATGCTTTTGAACGCCGCTTGTAAACAATATAATGAGCTGTCACTGGAATAATTTTAACAACTGTCGGACGAGTGGCTAAGAAATGACAGCAGTCTGAAGTTGGTGGCAGTCTTTTTACCTCAGCCTGTATGAGCTATTATGACCTGGGGAATAGCATTAAAATACAAAAATACTAAACGTTAAACGGTAGTAAAAGCCCAATATTCAAAACCTCTATGCTATTCTAAATCACATTTTTTTTTTGGAAACTGTCGTGCCAGTTGGTCCAAAGTCAGACTATAGATCCCTATTTCAATGTTCACATACACAATTGTAGCATTTGTTCCTATTTATGACTTACATCTGGCTCCTAGTTCGCAAGCTCTACAAAAAGATTGTGGAATTTAACGCTATGACCTTCGGTTTTTTTATGTTAGTCGGTGAGGTTTTTGGTTCGAATCCCAGGCTTCCAGAATTAGTGTAACAGACAACTGTAAATTAGCCGGTACAGTAACTAGCCTGGTCGGACAAAAACAGTGTATCAACTTACCTCTGAGGCCTCTACTGTTGAGTATTTGTCCTCAGAAAAGGCAAGAAAGGATCGCAAATTTTTCCATCGATTGACGAGGACCTATATTCGAATCCCTGCCTCCCATGTCAGTTTATGTTATCACTTTTGTCCTGTCGCTCGAAGAGCACTTTTTTATAATTATTTCTCCTTTGGCTTGAGCACTTCTGACAAATGGCTTTTTATGACAACCAAATGCTGCAGGTCCCGCAAACAGTTAAGCAGATGATCTGGCATCTTTGATGTGAGTTGTTAGAGAAAAATAAGTTTTTATCAAAACCAATTGCACTACATTTATTCCTATTTTTCTCGTCTCTATTATTGTGGCGCCCAACATGGGGAATTAAGTAGTTGACCTCTGAGGCCACAACTGCAAAGTACCTTCTACTTCCACTGAATGAGAGTAGCTGGCCTCTGGGGTAACTACTTGAGAAGCTAGCTTTTGAGGCCACTACTTTTCTTAGAATTTTTCATGTTTTCGTGCTTATGGCGCCCAATGTGGGGAACAGCCTTATTTTAAATATTAATATTTAAATGTCATTTAAATTAACTTTTATTTTTCTTTTTTTATTCTTTTCAGGGTTTCCTTTTTATACCATAGGACGTTTTCAGAATGAAGTGTGTACTGGGAAGAATAATCTCTATGGCACCTGTATGGTGCGGGGAGAATGTAGTGACAATGGTGGTGTGTCGGCGGGAGGATGTTCAACAATAACCAATCAGGCGGTGTGTTGTATTTGTAAGTCTCAAGAAGATGTTTATACCCAACGAACCCTACTAATCTCTCTCCATATTTACCTTTCAGATCAAAAAACCTGTGGCGCCACGACCCAATACAACAACACCTATTTCTATAATTCCGGATATCCGGGTACCTATGGTGGCGGTGGCCGGTGTACAATTGTCGTACAACCCTGTGATTCAAATATTTGCCAGCTGAGAATAGATTTCCTCTCACTGTCGCTGGCTCCACCAAATGGTGATGGATTTTGTGTGACAGATTCTCTACAAATCACCGGCGGATCATCACGGGTGCCAGCGATATGTGGTGAAAATTCGGGACAACATGTTTATGTGGACTTCAATGGGGATTCACCGATTACCATATCGATTGCCACATCGGCAGGATATACCTTTAATCGCCATTGGCAATTTCAAATAACCCAACTGGCATGTGCCTCACCCACCCAAGCCCCCTCGGGATGTCTACAATACTATATGGAGGAAAGTGGTACGGTGCAAAGTTTTAATTACGTTTCGGCGCCCAATTCATTGACAAATTCTATTGGAGTTCCGGGCACACGACAAATTGCCAATCACCAGTACGGCATTTGCATACGAATGGGAGCGAATAAATGTTCCATAACATGGTCACAGGTGGATTCGGATGCCTATTCTTTTACACTTACCAATGATGTGGGTGCCGTGGATCCTTCGCTGCTGGCCACCGAGGCCGTCCAGAGTCAAGAGTGTACGACGGATTTTATTGTTATACCCAACCCGACGCAAAATGGTGCGGCGTTGCCCAGCGATCGGTTTTGTGGCCTAGGTCTGGTGCCGACAACAAGTTCAACAAAACCCTTTGTGTTGTTCGTCAACACCGATGGGAATGAGGATTTCGATATATCGAATCGAGGATTTTATTTGTCATATTCACAAAATGGTTGCCCGATATTGTGAGACTGAAATGTGACGTTGAATAAAAGACTGTAGAATTTAGGAAATATTTTTGTTTTTTTATTTTTGTCTTACAAATTCGAGAGAAACTGGCCCCTGATCACCTTAAGTAGAGTAGAAGCCTTCTAAGGCCCTCGCTGCTAGCCTCTGAGGTCACAATTCCACAGAAGCTGGCCTTTAAAGACCACACTGTCGAGTAGCTCGATTCTGAGTTCGATACTTTCGAGTAATTAACCTTTGAAGCCCTGTTTCTAAGCAGTAAGTTTTTGAGGCCACTATTTTTGAGTAGATGGCATTTGAGGTCACCAATTTTCAGTAGCTGGACTTGAAAGTTACTATTTTCGAGGATCAGACCTTTCAAGCCACTACTTTAGAGAAGCTGGTATTTTAGGTCGTTACTTTCGAAGAGTTGACCTCGGAGGCTACAACTTTTGATAACCTGGCCTCTGAGGTAACCAATTTTGAGTACCTTTCCTGTGAGGCCACTTCTTTTGAGTTACTGATCACTGCCAAGGATCAGGCTTTTGAAACTTCAAATTTCGAGTAGCTGGCTTTGAGGTTACTAATTTCGAGTAGCTGACCTTTGAAGCCACTACTTTTAAGTACCTGCCCTCTGACGCCTCTACTTTCGTGTAGATGGCCTCTGAGATCACAACTTTCTTCTGAGACCACTTCTTTTGAGTTGCTGACAACTTTCGAGGACCTCCCTTTAAAAAAAAACTACATTCGAGTAGTTTACCTTTGAAGCCACTACTTTTGAGAAGCTCACCTTACAAGTAGCTCGGCTTTTAAGCCACTTGGAGGAGGAGAGTGGCTTTACCTTCGAGGTTGCTACGAACGAGTAGTTGCTTTTTGAGCACAATACTTTTAAGGAGCTTGCTTTTGGCATTTGAGGCCATTACTTTGAAGTAGCTGTCCTCTGAGGTCTCTACTTTGGAGAATCTTGTCTTTGAGGGCAATACTTTCGAGTAGTTTGACGCCAGTATTTTTCAGAAACTCGTCTTTGACATCACTACTTTTGAGTAGCTGGCCTCTGAGGACACCGCTGTCAAGGTTCCGTCTTTTGAGACCACTACTTTCTAGAAGTTCGCCTTTGAGGCCAATACTGTTGAGGAGCTCGCCTTTGAGGATGATATTTTAAAGTAGCTGCCTTTTGAGACTACTGTTTTTGAATAGCTGCCCGTTGAGGTCACTACTTTTGAGTAGCTGGCCCTTGATGCTAATACTTTTGAGTTGTTGCCCTCTGAGACCTCTACATTCGAGTAGTTGGCGTCTGAGGCCACTACCTTCGCATATCTGGCCCCAGAAGCCACCACTTTTAATTAGCTCGCCTCTGAAACCAGTCCTTTCATGTAGCTACTCTCTGAGTCCATTACTTTCGAGTAGCTGTCCTTTTGAGACCACTTATTTTGAGCAGGTGGCCGCTGAGGCCACTACTTTCAGGTAGCTCGTCTTTGACACTAGTACTTTCGAGTAACTGGTCTCTGAGGCCACTGTTGTCGAGAAACAGGTGTCTGAAGCCACTACTTTCGATAACTGGCCACTAATTTCGAGTAGCAGGACCTGAGACCACTACTTCCGAGTATGTGGCTTCCGAGGCCACTTATTTTAATCAATACTTTCGAGTATCTTGTGACAACTACTTTCGAGTGGCTGGACTCAGAGGTCACTAGTCATGAATAGGCGGTCTTTGAGACCACTACTTTCGAGTAGCTCTCTTCTGAGGCCACTACTCTCGATTAGCTTGCCTTTGAGACAACTATTTTCGATTACTTGGTCTCTGGACCTCAAGAAGCATCCTTCCCTAGAGGCATCTACTTTCAAGCGGTTGGCCTTTGAGGGCTTTACTGTCGAGTTGTTGGACTCCGAAAGCACTAGCTATGAATAGTCGGTCTTTGAGGTTATTACATTCGAAGAGTTGGCCTTTGAGACCACTACTCTCGAGTAACTCGGCTCTGAGACCACTGAGTGGAACAGCTTTCCCTAAAGGCATCTACTTTCAAGCGACTGACTGGCTCTCGAGTAACTCGGCTCTGAAGCCACTACTCTCGAGTAGTTCGCCTTTGATGCAGCTACTTTCGATTACTTTGCCTCTGGACCTCTACAGTGGAGCAGTTTTCCCCAGAGGCATCTACTTTCCAGTAACTGCCTTTGGAGGCCACTATTTTCGAGTGGCTGGATTCAGAAGTCACTAGTCACGAATAGTCGGTCTTTGAGGCCAGTACCGTCGAATAGTTGGTCTTTGAAGCCACTACTCTCGAGTAACTCGGCTCTGAGACCACTGAGTGGAACATCTTTCCTTAAAGGCATCTACTTTCAAGCGACTGGCCTCCGACCCCTCTACTGTGGAGTAGATGTCTCCAAACGTTATCAATTTCCAATAACTGCGCTCTGAGGCCACTACCTTCGAATAGTTGGCGTTTGAAGCCTCTACTCTTGAGTAACTCGCCTCTGAGACAACTACTTTTGATTAGTTTGCCTTTGGAACTCTACAGTGGAAAAGCTTTCCCTAGAGGCATCTATTTTCGATGGCTAGCCAAGAGGCCTCCACTGTGGAGTGGCTGTCTCCAAAGGCCTCTACTTTCGAACGCCTGGCCTCCGAGGCCTTTACTGTGGAGTAGCTGTCTCCAGAGGTCATCAATTTCCGGTAACTGCGCTCTGAAACCACTACCTACGAATAGTTGGCCTATGTAGCCTCTACGTCGAGTAACACGCTTTTGAGGCAACTATTTTTGATTAGTTTGCCTTTAGACCTTTACAGTGGAACAGCTTTCCCCAGAGGCATCTGCTTTCTAGTGGCTAGCCTCAAGGTCTCTACTGTGGAGTAGCTGTCTCCAGAGGCCTCTGCGGTCGAGTAACTATCTCTAGAGGACACCACTGTAGAGTAACCGAACTGTTAGGCCACTGTGAAGTAGCTGTCACATGAGGATGTCCTAGATTTCCCATTCCTTATCCTTGAAGTTTATTTTCTGTTACCCAATTGAATTTTAATCATCCCAAACTCCTCGTGGCCAATGAGAAAATATAAATCCCTCAAAGAACACATCTCATTGCCGCATTTATTTCACCAAAAATAGCCATCCAAACAAAAAGTTTTATCTCTATTTTTCCCCCAAAAAAAATTATAGGCAAATAAAATGGGAATAATTTCCAACATCTTTAATGACAGCCAACAATTGTTGGTCATCAAGGCGAAATGATTAAGGCCAAGGCAGGATAATGACAGACAAATTGCCGGCTAAGAAGACCGCAATGAAATTTCTTTTCACAGCAGTTTTATTTTGGTGCGGCTCATTTGAAAAACATTTGAAGTTGCCCAAAATAAAGGCCACAAAATATTTCGAGTTGTAGCCGTTTGCTTTTGGGCTCTGCGTGAGCGTTTCTCTATTCCATTTCATGGCCATAATGGACTTAATGGCTTAAAGTTTTGCCTTTCGTTGTGTCTTTTGGTTTGTTTGTTTTGGGCCATAACAATAGCTGGCTTTGTCATAATTCGAGCATTCTGGTTGTACTAACAGCCTCTAATTAGATAATATCCTCTGATAAGACAGAACATTTTTTAGTTTGCAATGAGGCAACATGACTATCACCCCCGCCAACACCAATCCAAGGGTGGCCACTTCATTTGAAGGACTTTCCTGCCACCAAAATGTATTCCTAATTCCGCATGACATTAACCATGATAGGAGAAGGGGGAGAGGGGGAGAGGGGGAACTAAATTCCATGGTGTGTATTTAACTAAATGGCAACAAAGTGTTGGCGCGTGCTCAATTAATTCAAACGCCATAAAAAATGAATAGCACTAACAACAACAACTACTACTGCTGCTGATATACAACAACAAAATGTTTGTGACAATAGTTGTATGCCGGCCCAACCATTGCACAAATTATGACGCCTACAACTGTTCCGTTTGTGGATTTGAATGTCATTAGAATTGAATGAAAGCAACGATGATGTTCGAAGGACATGCATTTGGACGTGAAATGTTTGAGCAAATCCTTTTTGCAGAAACTTAATATAAAAAGGAATGACTAAAAGTGTCATGATTTCAGCTACTCGAAGGAAATGGCCTCAACGGGCTTGTTACTTATAGTGAAGGCTAGTTACTCTATATAAGGAGACTCAAAGGCCAACTAATCTGTAAAATCTGACACTAAGATCAACTTTTCCACTATAGAGTCCTTAAAGGACAAATATTCGACAACATTGGCCCTGGAGGTCACATATTCAACAGTGGTGGACTCAAAAGCCATGTACTCTGCAATGCTGTTCTGAAAAGTCGGATACTCTACAGCAGTATCCCGAGAAACAACAGCAGCAACAGAGTAGCGGCCAGCTACTCTTCAGCAGTAGTCCGTGGCACTATCTACTCTGCAGTATTGGACTCAAAATCCAGCAACTCTATAGCATTGCCTTCAGAGACCTCAGAAGCCAGCTATTTAAAAATAGGGCTCCAGAGGTCAGCCACTCGACATATAGACCTCAAGGAGAAGATACTCGACCTCAGAGTTCGGATAATTGAAAGCATTTCCCTCGGAGGCCAGCTACTTAAATGTAGAGCTCTTAAGGCCAGCCATTCGAAAGTAGTGAACTCAAAGGCCATCTAGCTGAAGGTAGTAGCCTCAAATGTCAATTACTCCGCAGTTGTGGCCTAAGAGGCTACCTGCTTCACAAAAGTGAGCTCAGCAGATATTTTCCCTATAGATCTCGAAATTGGACTCAATTTCCAGTAACTATACAGCAGCATAAGCATTGCCTTCAGAGACCTCAGAAGCCAGCTATTTGAAAAAAGGGCTCTATAGGCCAGCCATTCGAAAGAAGTGACCTCAAGGAGCAAATACTCGACCTCAAAGGTCAGCTACTGAAAAGTATTTCCCTCGGAGGCCAGATACTGAAAAGTAGAGCTCTTAAGGCCAGCCATTCGATAGTAGTGACCATCTACTCGAAGGTTGTAGCCTCAAAGGTTAACTACTCCACAATAGTGGCCTAAGAGGCTACCTGCTTCACAAATGTGAGCTCAGCAGCAATCATCTCTATAGATCTC